GGTTTTCCTGGTTAAAATTAGGGGAGGTGGTACATTTTGATGATGTGCACAAACATGCATGTGTACAGTGTCTTCAACAGGCCCACTTTTACAACCAACACATTTGTGGGCTTCTAATGAAAATGGTTTTCTTGCTAGTGGGTCTATTAAATGACTCTCTTGGTATTAAAAATGAATATGTGCTTCTCTGCAGTGGTCCCAGTAATATTTGTTCCTAAAGTGGTAGAGCTAGGTTTACCAAGAACTAGGGATGCACTGAAGTGTGGTGACAACACCTGATGTTTGTCTTTTTGCTACGACATGTGGCCCAGTACTGTTCCAAGTCCTTTTTTTCGGACTTCTTTCATTTTGAAGGATAAATACACAGACTGAGGGCGATCTGGCATAACTTTATAGTAATTCGCAGCGCATCGGCCAAGTATATAATAATCATTAGTACGGTATGAGCTGATGAAATTGCCATTGGTCCATCCCACAGCTACCCCATTTATATTAGAGAATGTACAAAACATTGTAAGCAAAAACTGAAGTGGAACTGTAGCAGAATAAGTCGAAGGGCACTCGCAAATAATAAACCTACACCAAGGCCATTTCCATGAGTAAAACACATCGTGTGCATCTGCCCCTCTGTTCGGATGCACTCCATCAGTTAATGTTCTTCCTTGGTCACTTTTCAACCATGTTTCATGAAAATCAGGCAAGTGGTTTTCCTGGAATAAAAGCAAGTCGTGCACACTTGAAGGGACCATGGAGAAGATGAAATAACAGATGTTATGAATGTAGGTCACACGCCCTGTCGGTTTTACAGGAACTGGTAATTCATTTGTGTGTTTATACATGCTTCTCTTTCTTCTTTTGAAGGAAGACATTTTTTGTGTTTACAACCTAACCCTTTCTCTTTTTGTGACTCTTTTCCAGGTTTGGAAAGCTCGTCTGAATGGTTATGAAGAAGCTCTTAAGTTGTTCCAGAGAATAGAAGATGAGAAGAGTCCAGAGTGGGGGAAGTACCTGGGGCTAATAAAGAAGTTTGTCACTGACTCTAATGTTGTGGCTCAGCTTAAAGGCCTGGAGGCTGCCCTGGCCTTCATTGAGAATGCTCATGTAGCTGGCAAGTAAGTAAAACATTTTTCAAGCAGGACTCATGTCGTTCTGAACATTGCCTTAGTCAGGGAAGAAGGTGTTAAACACACTAAATTAGCAAGTCTTAATAAAAAAAAATCTTTCCCCTTTTTGCTTAAAAATGTTTTGGGAAATGCTTTGTGCAGAGTCGTCCTCTGGGTTAACCGGCAGAAGAACTTGGTGTCTGTTATTTATGGTGAGAGGCCTGCAGTTGAGAGCACTGAATGCATTGTCTTGACCAACAGCAAGCAAAGCATGCTCTCAGGATACCTTGTTATATATCCTTTATTCACTGAGGGAAAAAAAGCAATTTCTTGGATTGATATGCTTTTTTTTTTAAAGAATATCCTCCAAATTAATGTTGTGTAGTTACAGTATGTGCGTGTCAGGAGATGCGTTACTTAATGCGTTAAAGATACTTCTGTGTAACAAAAGCTCAGGAACCTTAGTACTTTTGGAGGGGGGGGGTGGTGGACTACAGCGCTTCGCGATTGTCAACGGGGGGGGGGGGGGGGGGGGGGTAGTGGAGTACAGAGCTTCGTGTCCGCGGAGCGTGTGAACGTTGTGACCAGCTGTTTTAGCGCAGGGCTGTACAGACCGACGTTCACAGCAGCCCTGTCTGTGCACACGGAGACCGACTCTGTCGTCCGGTGATCTAACTGCCTTCTGGAAAAGCTTCACAAGTACGTCGGTACGCAAATGCGCTTTGTGACACAAGTGACGGTACGCATTTCAGATTGTTGCCGGGCATGCGTACCTGCGTACCAGTTATGTGCACCCCTGCGTATATCATATACGTGCGTGGATTAGTCGACTAATCGCCTTGACGACTATTGGTCGACCAGAAAATCTTTAGTCGATGGCAGCCCTAGGCTGTTGTTGTCTCTAGCTTTGGGAATAACCCTTTTCACTTTATTCAGCAGTACCAAGCAAGACACATGAAATGGCTTAAGCATCTGTTGATACATACAAAATTGAATCCACTAAAGCAGTGGTTCTCAACTGGTCAGGCCTCGGGACCCACTTTTTCCTTTGTCAATAGATCGCGACCCGAAATTTTGAACCACTCGAATCTATTCAACAAAAAATGGTGCTGTGTATATGTATGTATGTATATGTATGTATATGTATGTATGTATATGTATGTATATGTATGTATGTATGTATGTATGTATGTATATATATGCTTTTCAGCATACAATATTAAAGTACAGTGCATATATCCCTTCACAGAACTAAAGTATGCTTTTAAAAAAGGTTTAATGAGATGATGGAATCAAAGCTGGACTGTATAACATAAAAAGGCACACATGCTGAAAACCCAACCCCAGAAGGGGGTCTGGGGGGATTCTCCCACAGGAGATTTTTATACATACTAACATATAAACTACGCATTCTGGTACACTCTGAGAAGAAAATAAATAAATGTATTACTACCCGACATATTAATAATATTTGATGCCATTGCTTGTGTTTCACTTTGTTCTGAAGCTGAACTTGCTGCTCCACACAGAGAGAAGAGCAAAGAGGAGAGAGTCTGTGTGAATTACTTTCAATTGTGGGTAAGGGTAGATAGCCCCCATTGTTCTGTGACCTGTCAATCATCAAACCGGGAGTCATATTTCATTATGTGTTCATTTTTATCTGAAGTTGTACCCATGGATGTATAAAGAATACTTCTACCGCAAAGTTATTCTCCGTGGGGACTTCCGGCAGCAATCTTGATTCTGATTGGCCAGAAGACTCGAAAAGACATCAGCAAAGATGTTTTATTGAGAAGATGATTACTACGTGACAGAAGTTTTCAAAACCGTTTATGGTCTCCGGTACTTCCAGTCCAAAGCCTACTGCATGCACAGCGTTAGAATTTTTTTTTCTTCACTCACACATCTGCGACCCACCAGTTGAGAACCACTCTGCACTAAAGTGTCAACCTATCAGATTAAATCTATGCATACTGAATATTGAAAAGTCTGCATAAGATGATGTTCATCCGTAGATGTGTATACTGTGTTCTGACAGGCAGTGTTTGTATCAATCTCCACAGGACCACAGGTGAGGTGGTGTCGGGCGTAGTGACCAAAGTGTTCAACCAGCCAAAGGCGCGGGCCAAGGAGCTGGGCATGGACATCTGTCTGATGTACATCGAAATGGAAAAGGGCGAGGTGGTGCAAGAAGAGCTGCTCAAAGGACTGGAAAACAAGAACCCAAAGATCGTGGTGGCCTGCATCGAGACTCTCAGAAGGGCTCTCAGGTCAGTGCTCCTCCCCCCCTCTACCCACACGGGTTAGAAAGGCCACACTAATGGCGCATTTCCACTGCAGGGCCTCGCACGACTTAGTACGGTATAGTTAGGCCTTGGTAGGCCAGGCTCACTTTATGCTGCGTTTCCATTAAAGTTTAGGAACTGGGGTAGTAACTATAGTAACACAGTGTAGGTGGAGCCGTGACGTCATCTTCAATGCAAAACCAACATCAGCCGTTAGCTGTTAGCACTCAGAGCTCACAGCTCCTCATATATGTTCAGAAACTAGACAAAAGTTAATCAAGTACAAACCACAGACTGTCTGTGTCATGGTGAATACAGTCGCTGCTTTATTTATGTCTGTAGGCCGTTGTGAGTGTGGACGGTCGGAGCATATACTGCGTTAGCTTAGCTGATCTCCATTCAGAAAACACGAGCAAGAAAACGACTTCACTTTACGTAGCCATGATGATAATTATGTCTTACCTTTGCTGTTTTGTGATCAAAAGTTGTGTTCAAGGTAGGGTTGTGCGATTATGGCAAAAATCATAATCACGATTATTTGGGTCAATAATTTATATCACGATTATTTTGACGATTATTCATTGACCATTTATTGAACTTTAAAACAAATAATATTTTACCAATAAACAAGATCAACACATATGTTGGAGCGCACTTCCAAAACCATACTAAACATATATTAATATGATAAATAAAAATAAATTAGACCAAAATAAATTAAATCAAATATGTTGTAGTGCACTTTCACAACCTACTGACAACTCCTTAACATATAGCCAACATGGCCACCATGGCAAATGCTGCTCATGTCATCTCTTAAAGATTTTTTGCGAGAAACACCAGCCTGTTTACATGGTCTGGTTTCAGAGATGAGCGCAGGCAGGTGACAATATTGCCACCTGTACTGAAGACCCTCTCTGAAGAGGAACTTGTGGCTGGGATGCACAGATACTTCCTTGCCAGGATGGAGAGCCGTGGGTAGAACTTCCGGGATTCCCTCCACCACTTTAGTGGGTCCTCCTCAGCATCCACTGGCACTGCCTGGAGGTAGGACTGTAGCTCAAGAGCTATGGCCTTGTCCTTTTCCAGAGCAGGTTCTACAGCTTGGTCTACGGTGGCCTTGAAGAAGCTCCCCAGTCCCTTCTTCTTTTTCTTCTTTGGTGCAGCAGCAGCAGCATCCTCCGTGTCATCTGCAGGCACCGCTGCCGTCTCAAGAGGGGCGTTCTCCTTGGAGTATTATAAAGAAAATAAGAATGACATGTTTAATCAGACAAAATGGTTATGAGTATTAACATTTATACCTAGAATTACATTATAACACTTTGACAACACATTCATTCACTTAATTGTATTTACTGTCAAATCTGTCATTTTAATTTTTTATTATTATTATTATTATTATTATTATTACCATGAGTGTCATCACCCTCCTCATCTCAGTTGTCAGGCTGGCTTCAATGGATCCTCGATTGTCCTCACTGACATATTTGAGCTTGAACCTCGGGTCCAGGGCAGAGGCCATGTCAAGCAGCTCTTGTGTCGCTGCGTCATCATATTTATCATTGAGATAGTCTAGTATCTTCTTTTTTATGCTTTTGTGAGGTCTGTGTCATCCTCCTGCACTGCCAGCAATGAGTTGTTGAGGAGGTGCAGGGTTGGTTTAAAAAAAGACACACTTACATACTTCTCTCCAGAAAGTGCGTCTGTGAATTCCACCAGAGGGCTAAGCGACTTATTGATTGCCTCCAGTACATCAACGTCCTGTCACGTGAGGGAGAGATGTCTGGTTTTTCGGTCGCTGGAAAGGACCTGGGCAATGGCCTTCTGCTGCTCGAGGACCCTGTCGATCATGGCCTGCCTAGATCCCCATCTGGTTGGACATTCTGTCTTTAGGGAGTGTTCAGGCAGATTCAGCTGCTGCTGTGCCACTGCAAGTTCACGCTTCTTTTTCCAACTGTAGGAGAAGCTGCTGACCAGCTTCTTGCAAAGCCCCATTGCACGGCCGATCCTGGGATCCTTCATTGCATTCTCTAAGATTACAACAAATACATATTATTTAGTATCACGATGATAATCATGATCTTCATCAAAGCATGATTTGGTGTGGAGAGAGAGAGAGAGAGAGAAGAGAGAGAGAGGAGAGAGAGAGAGAGAAGAGGAGCTCTCTCCTCTCCTCTCTCTCTCTCTCTCCTACTCTCTCTCTCTCTCTCTCTCTCTATCGCTCTCTCTCTCTCTCTCCTCTCCGTCTCTCTCTTCTTCTCTCTC